CAGTCATGGCCAATCCCTTTTCAAAAGCACGGACCACTTGGTTAACCCGGTTTGAGTTAGCCAAGCGCTGGAGACTTCCATCACCCTGCGGGACCCGACGTCGCACTTCAAATCTCGGACCTTCCTCCTCCGAACTGGTGTCCTCTGGCTCACAGAGAACAGCCTGTGGACTACCTTTCTCCATCCCTTGCGAGGCCAAACTTGGGTTTTTCCCCTTGTTATTACCAGCCTTTCTTTTCGGTATCTCCCCATTCGTCTCCCCCAGAAGCTCTCTCCCTCCAAATTTCAGCACCCCAGATTTCCTTGCCTTTGTTTTCAGTTTGTGTGGGAGAGGGTATCGGTCAACTCCACTACCAGATGTGGGCGCGATCTGCCGCAGCGGCACCGCATCAACCACGATCTGATCGGTCTGGCCACGCCGAGGAGAAACTCCCGATTCGGCCAAATGCGTTGCTGGAAGGGGAGACGGAATTTTACTGAGGAGGAACTCCTCCTCCGATTCTTCCTCCAGTATCAATCTCCGCGGCCGCTGCCTTTTAGACGCTTCTTTGTTGGGAGCCGCCGATTCGATCGGAGCCGGCGAGCAACCACGCCGCCGGGGAATCTGTTTCTTCTTCCCCCGACCCTCGCCCACCGATGTCTCTTCACTTCCTCCTTGGGCCCCTCTCAAGCGGCCAGCCATCAGATGAGATCTCACTGGGCCGTCTATTTCCATTGGGCTCAGATGCCGACCTTTCCTAGACTTGCCACGGCGAGTCTGCTTGCCCAGGGCGATTTTGGGCCCCTTTGCCACTGGGAAGCGAAATGGACTACGGCCCTGCAAGTTTCGGGCCTCAGTAGTAGCAAAGGGGTTTTTAGATGATCCCATCCATAGAGGGCTTGTAGCAGCCTCAGGCCCACAGCTCGTGTGAACATGCGACCCAAGTTTCGTGGACCTCTGCTCTCCGCCTGGCCCAGCAAAATTCGGCCTTTGTTCTCCGCCTGGGCCCGCAAATTTTTGCCTCTGCTCCCCACCCGGCCCAGCAGACTTCAGCCTCTGTACTCCGCCTGGCCCGGCAATTTTTTGCCTCTGCTCTCCGCCCGGCCCAGCATAATTCGGCCCACGAGTTTCCATATTAACCCAGACTGATTTGGAAGGTTTCCGAGCTTGGGGGCGGATTTCTTCACCCTCGAAAACCTTCTTCCCCATATTCTTGGTGGACATATGGGGTCCAAATCGCTCCTTTCGAGTAGGGGGATCAAAATTGCATGATTGACGTGCATGACCCACACGTCCACAATTGAAACAGAAGCTCGGAAGGAACTCATATTTAAATCTGATCCAAAAGTCACCAGTCTCATTATTAGTTGCCATAATTTGATATCGAAGCGGCTTTGAAAAATCAATCAGTGCTTTCACTTTGACAAACTTTCGATTTGTGTCCGCACAAGCGAAGACACCAGCTTCAATAACCCGCCCAAGTGTGGCATTGACTATTTTCCGCCCAAATTGATGAGTACAACAATCTTCCTGGACATCCCATAGCTGGACACGGAATGGGGCAATCGCGAGCTCATCAAAAGTGTGCTGGGAAATTGAGGGACACCAAGCCCTCAAATGCAATATCCTGTCCGCAACGATCCATGGGGTTTGTTGTAAGACCCACGTTTTTGCAGCCTCCGACGGGAGGGTGAACTCAAAAAGCCCATGCGGTAACTCTCGCACTATGATACGTCCTTGGCCTTGCCATGACCTATTCACCGCATTTCTCAGTTCAGTCGTAGTGAATCGATTGTCAGAGAAGAGACGACCGATAAGCATCCTCGATTTGCGAACACGAGTTGCTTGAACCTCTTCAAGGGAGAAAGCCACCACTTGATCATCAGTAATTCGAGCCATAGGTGCCACCTGCATAGGTAGCTGGTCAGCAGGACAAATCGAGGAAAGATCACTGAGCCCCCCTAATGACCAAGGAAAACTCCAGTCTATGAACCCAATGTTATGCACAACAAAGGTCTCCCACCAAGTTTGAAAACGGAACTCGGCAGGGAGAAGGATCCACTTACCAGAGATTTTCCTCGCCTCAGCCTGTGATGTCTTGCTTAGTCGGTTCTCCTGTTCGTTCCGTAGTTGGGAAATATTGGGAACAGCCGAACTAGGCACATCCTTTAAATAGACCAGCCTTGACTGGAATACTAACGGCTGAGGTAGGCCAAGAAGGAATAGGACTCTAAGGCTTTTGTGATTATCCCTTCGTTTATTAGTTAATCCACCGCGTTTTCCAAGATTTTGGTGGTTAGGATTTACACGTCCACGCAGAGGAAATCGGGATTCCTTTAGGTTGTTAGGATTCCTTCCCCTGCTCGGACTTCCCAGGTGAAGTAGCCGTCGGCACAAATCGAGCCCGGAGCTCATCGGCCGGGAGCCATGCACCCTTTCATTCAGTCTACTAGCATCTCGAACATCCCCAGGCTTCGCCCCATTCCGGGGTCTGAATCCTGGAACCCCTTTTACGTTTAACACAACTGGGGGTATTGACTGACTCTGCTCATCACCCAGCACATGAATCAATCCCTCCTCCCCATCAATCACTAGAGTCGTAGGGATACGGAACCGCCATGTCTGTTGGCCACAAGACCTCGCCCCATTACGGGATCTGAGTTCATTCGGGTCTTCAGTGATATCTTCATTAACCATGAATCTCTTCGAATTAATCAAAGGACCCTCCCTCTCCATATCGATTATCTCCTCCAATGAAGGAATCCGGAAACGCCACCTGGGCACTTTATCACGCCGAGCTATTTTATCTTTGTGGCAGGTCTGGATTGAGTCCAGATCCGGAACTCGTCTCCGTTTGAGGAGATCGCGATTACCAACACCCTTTTCCGCCCAAATTCTGGGTTTCAATCTTGAGACACGAGCCTCTTTCTTCTTTTGCCGATGTTGTGATTCACCGTGCACCGCTCTAGGAGTGGGCTTTTGATCAAGGTCTTGTTCATCCCTGATCCAGCGTAGATCCGTCTCGCCCTGGTTAATTAGCGCCACCTCCAAAGCAAGTCGTACCAACCGGGAAATTGATTTTCCGGCCAAAGTTAGGAGAAAAAGGATCGCCGTCCAAACAGATTTGAGGAGAGAGGAGAGAGCATCCCACTCCTTTTTTTTTTCATTTTTTTTTTTTTCATCCATCTACCTCTCGTTTGCATCTAGTTGGAGGAGGATGTTTTCCATATTTCTTCTAGGAATAATACCGATTGGGACAAAAGAAAGTATATCGATCGGAGGCAGGCAGGCTGGAGTTGCATGTCGAATCCCTCTGTTTATCCGTCTTCGCCGCGTGAAGTTGCATGTCGGGTCCGATCAATCGAAATCGGCGTTGTCTGTTGAGTACAACGGCGATCGGGTCTGGAGAAAGGAGGAGCGGCAGAGTGAATCGTTTTTTAATTGTTTTTTTTTTTTCCAATTTTGTCGCCTGAAACGGCGACGGCTACGTTTACATACAAATTTCATTACCGCCGGTCTGATTTAAACCGGACGGTATCTTGGTTTATGCCGGTTAAGCCGATTAAACCGGCCGGCACGGTAGAAAGGAGGCTGGTTGGGTGCCGTTTCGCCATTGACCGGATTCCCGGTTGAACCGGCCGGTACGATCCGATTTCCTTTACCATGCTCATAAAGCGGATTGAAATATTTTACCTCGTGCGAGAGCGATGGAGGTGAACGAAAGATAAAGAGAGTTTGAGAGGTGAAAATAAAACTAGGAGGGAGGGAAGTTGGGATATGGGCAAAACGGTAATAACAGAACCAAAACAAACAAGTCCAAAGCTTGCAACTCCAGAACACATCTCACATTGCCAACAACAACTGCTTGGACTTCAGACTGAATCCTATTCACCAGCTGAAGAGGAGGGATAGCCAATCCATCTCCAAACACCCTTCTGCACCTCTTCCTCAATGTATGACTGAGTACCTTGCTCTAAATCAGTTTGCCAGTGCGTAAGCAGGTATTACTACTTTGTCGTTGATGAATCGACCAACTCGACAAGGTTATCCAATATATCCAAGTCCCAATAGGTGCTAGAAGCGCGAAACACCCTTTCAAGTCAAATTCAGTGTAAGAGGAGCAGTTCACAAATAAGTGATTTCGGATTTCAATTCCACCAGGCCCAGGGCATAAAACACAAGCATTATGAGAAGGTTCCCCCGTAAACCAGTTAGCCCTTGGTAACTACTACATCAAGCATCACTAACCAGAATGATATGATGTGTTTAGGAATAACAAATTTACCGCAGACAACCTTATACTTGTTAACTACAATACAAGGAGAGACTACATCCAGCAGTAGCAGGTTGCAGGTTGCAGGCTGCAGAGATAGTAGAATATACCTGCACGTGATGTTCCCGAAAAGGCTGGGTTTGTTCTTCTCTTCCTTGCAAGCTCCAACTTCCACCCAGCAATCCACTGATCAGGCATCAAATTTCTCTACTGATTGATCCCTGCAAGCTTCTCCGCAACAGAACAAGAAGAACTATACAATATACAACTGCACAGAATGTTTTCATTGTTTTGCAGTTTACAGTGGCACATTTAAAACTTGCTTCAGCAATGAAATTACCCCTCTCCCTGATAGTTGAGCCGACCAAATATCTTCATTGGAATCGCCATGGCATGCACATAGGCCAATTTTATAGTCAAAATGATTCGCTATCATCAGTTTTTCTTTCTCTATTCAACTTCAGAGGCCCCTTGAGCAGATGGGCGTACCTTCCCGGTAGCTACTGGCTACCAACATAGCAGACTCTGACTCCATCCATAAAGGAGCTTTCGGATGTTATGGGAGTCGCATGATAAAATTGATTAACTGCAGTACTAGGCTTTAGCTATGAATATCCTCATCAATAATTCTACAAAGACATTCTACGTTATGCATTGCTTCCCCGTGAGGACAGTTTAAAGCATGGCTAAAACACAAGCAAGAGAGTGAGATGTACTATATCAGACAGAACTAGACCAGAAATTTGACTGTTGCAAGTATAATTGAAATTTATATAAATTTGAATAAAGTTTCACATTTCACTGGAGAGTTAAACAAAAATGCGGCTTCAAAGCCCTCTGCTTGCAGTAACAAACTACAAACACTTCTGCATTAGCATGTTCAAGTATGCGTACATAAAAGAGAATACAAGGCGAGTCCTGGTTCTGAAGCTTTGTGGCAGTTTCGATACCAAGTTGAAGGGGGTTGTTACTCAGAATGAATGCCGCAGCTGAGGATTCCAGTATCAGAAGAAGGGGGACAGTTCCTTTTATGTTGTGGGGGAAATCAGCTATACTTTCGTCGAAGCTTCAATCATCAGCTTATAAAGCGCAAATCCACCTTGATGACAGCCAGGCATTTTACTTTTCATGTGTTCTAAAATCACCTAATATGCAAAGATCCATAGCAAAATTTATGAGCAAGCAGAGTATTCACCTATTTCTAAGTCTAAAACTAATTGATTATAGATGGAACTAACTGGAAGTGATACTTCTATAATTTCACAGGGCACAAGGAACCAACTTAGTTGTAGAGATAACAGTGTAGATTGAACTAACCGGTGAGACCGTGTGAAGTTGGATTGACTCGTAGCCATCTAGTGCACTAGAGTACAGTTGATGGATTTCCTTGGATGGCAGGTTGCATTTCATATAGAAAAATGCAGCTGGTCTGACATTCAAGATCCTGCGAGAGAGACCAATAAAAACTGGAGTTGACTGCAAAAAATAAGAGGAAAAGGCAATTTAGATAAATTGTTCATGTAAAAATTGAACAAACAAGCAGAAAAACAACAGCTGCTGAGCAATATCCAATCCCACAGGGAATGCCTCTGCAGGAGGTGATAACTTACAAGAGACGTTGCAGGTACTCCAATTTCTTCAACTACTTCACGAGAAATACTGTCAAACATCTCTTCAGAGACCTTCTTGTTGAGTTCCTCAGTTGTGACAACAGGATCCTGACCATTTTGACTAGATGCTACTTCAACTTTTTCAGGCTGTGCATTGGTCAAATACTAGAAAACATCAGCGCTGTCCGCACGTACACAAACTACCAAACCCAACGGAAATAAACTAGAGTGGAAACTATATTTATTGAATTTTTGTGGTACTGGAATGTGTTATGCAAGAAAAAAATGTCAAAGCAGAAAAGAAGAACTAATCACAAATTTGAGCAATTCTTACCTCTGGATGACCTCCAGGAAAAACTAAATGTCCCGCAAATTCTCCAACATTATCACTTCTTCTCAACACAACAATTTCATTGTCAGCGGTTACCACAATTGCGCCATTACCCAGTGGACTTGCTGTATGTTGGCACTTTATCACATCCACTACAGTGAGAACCACCAAGATCATAAACAACTGTTTCCAAGGTTAAAAACATTAGAAAAAGCAATTCACTTCTGTGATGAAGAAAAATTGATGCCTGCAAATACCTTCAGATGGTGCAAGGAAATTTTCCCACAAAGGATTCAAGTTTGTCCCGACAAATGTCCTGGGAAAGATGCTGATAGCATTAAATTTTTTCCATGAAGAAAAAAACAATGATGCACATAGAAACCATTATATGCATGAAGAAAATTCATCAATTAGAGATTCTCGCTAATAGTTTCAGTTCATCTGGACAGCACTAAGAAGAAAACTAAAGTATGATCTGAAGAAAAAGGGGAGGGAGGACTCAAAAATCAAAACTAGTTGATGAGGAATATGATCAGCAACATGACAGCTATACCCTAAACATAATTCATTCATCAACAAACACTAAAAAGGAAAACAAAAGTCTGACACTGAACCACACCCATGGTCTGCATATATCACATCAAGGCTAGCCTCATCATTCATTGACCAACAAGTGAAAGAACTGACGGATGAGCAGATCAAGAAACTAGGAATTTTCGACTTGCAGTTGTGAACGATAAAAACTGTTAACGTGTTTTGCAAGCAGAAGAGTTATGTCCATGCTCACAGATAACAGCGAAAGCTCAATCCATGCTAAAAGACTTCAACGTTTATCTTTTGCAGTTGGATGAATAAATGTTTAACTGTTACATAATTGACCATCTGATATCGTATAAGTCAGTTCAATTTTTTACAAAAAATAATTTAACACACAGAGGGAAGGAGGGAGGGAAAGAGACCGATAATCTGTCGAGCCAAGGTGGAGGCATGCTTGAGAAACTCCTCTAGCTTCACCACCATCCTGAAGACTACATCCGCCATACTGCCAGGATATGAGCACAAGAACGCATTACCAACATCAGCTCATCGGACCTTCAATCTGCCTAAAAGTATAAGCGCTTAACTTGTTCTCATACAGTCACACTAATGCATTATTTCATTTCATGTGCCCTCTCATTTGTTTTGAAATTTAGTTCAGAAGCATAGAGATAAACTGCAAAGGAGATTTGATTTCTCAAGGGTGGTATCATCTAGTTGAAGTTACAAGCCATAAGGGAATGCAACGTGTAGAATAGGTTAAGTTTTCCAGAGTAGTTTGTCAGGTAGACAGTTTCCAAGTGAAAGCTAACAGATTACAATAAATTAGAATTAGAAAGCGTGCCTCCTTCCAAATTCCTGCAAGATTCAAATTTCGCAAAACCAATTTGCATAATAAAGTACTAGTTGGGTCATCTAATAACTATATCCTCCAATGCTCTCGGTTTTGATAAGGTAAGTGGATTCCGTAAGTTCCAGTTTCCCACAGAGAGAAGTGGTCGCATAGCCTATAACTATGAAATGGGTACACTTCTCTGATGAGACCTAGACGAACTGTACGGCAACATTCATCAGCGAGCCAGGACATAAAAGATATCAGTAAACTTGTAATCATCGACATACCCGGAACTTCTTCCCATTGTATAAAGATGAATTGCTCTGAATTCTATCCTCCCATATCTACAAGCAAATGAAGATCACAGTAAATGAGTGAAAGTCACAATTTTTGAGCAACTGATTTGTCTACAGATTTGACACAGAGATTGGAAGAAAGGCTCTCTCAATGAGCATTCACCAAAAGCTACCGCTCTGGCTATAACGCAATCAAGAAAACTGAAATGTAGTTATATTAAAAGAGGGCGGATACCGTGATAGTCTACAACGGAGAGTCTCAAACAAACAACAACGCATGCACTCATCGCCCCAACATAGATTATAAGAACTCACTTGGCCTATGGAGTCCTCCAATTCAGCGTTCGGATGGGGGATTCTATCGTACGATCGATCAAAAACCACGGCCAACTTGCTCCAACGGAAACCAAAAATCCACAATCAGTATTATATTGAGTGCAACCTGCTAGCTACATTACATCCAAAAGGATGAAGGGGAAAAGAACCTGAGATGGCGAGAGTCCAGATGGGCAGGTGAGCAGGAGCTTGTAGTCCGCTGTTTCCATTGCTGAAAAGGGAAGGCCAACTGCTCGACGAAAGTCCTCAGCCAAAATTTGCAGAATGGCGAATCACCAATGCAGCGTTATTGGTAACGAATGGCCTACGCCCCGCGGTTCGATCAGCTGTTTATTTCACGCTTCCCATCTAGACGAGTCACGAATCGGTCCAACTAATGGCGAGTTCTTGGGAAAAAATTTGTAATGAAAAACATGGGTTATCTCATGGAGTAGGGATTACAATTTCGACATGACCCGTTTTATCTGAATTGTTTGACTTGTTTTGTGGTGGGGCGGGCATGGGTACTCTTATCGATCCAACCTATCCTGACCCGTCCCATTCTCGACCCTTTCTTGACTAAATTACATGTAATCTTAGTCAAATTACTTGAAATTTTCCTTTTATTACATAATATTTAAGCTATAATAAAGTTATAAATAAGTGAAAACCTCAATTTTTACTATAATTTTACTACATTTATCATAATATGGTTTGTTTTCTTGGCCTTATAATGAAATTAACGAATATTTCTAATGTTTTTCATATAAATTGCATACTCATTGGGTCAACCTGCCCTGACCCGCGACCCATGATAAATTACCCGACCTGCCACGAGGCGGGTACGGGTACCGTGATACCCGCCCCGGAGCTGCCCCATTGCCATTCCTAATGAGGATTGTTATTCTTTTTTTGACGAAAACCTGATTTCATTACGAAATAGGGAAGTGATACAGAGTTTAGACCGTAGTCAAAGAAAGATAGAAGCCTGACCAAACGACAATGCAAACCCCAACCAAACACAGAAGCCCACCAGAAAACTAAAAACAGAAAATACACACAACAACCACAGTCCAACAACACACAAGAACCCAACAAAAAACCCAACAGCCTTTCCACTCCAACGAAGCCCACAAACACAACCCTAGCCCAAAGTAACCCCAAACCACCAGCCACCTACTTGTTGGCCCAAATAGCCGCCAACAACCAACCCTTACCCTGCCTCTGCACTCCCATCATCACGCCGCCACCAAACGGAAGGAAAAACAATCCACCACCAACAAAGCCAACAGGATCAAAGAGGGGAAAAGATCCACTCCCTCAACCCCCCGTTGACACACACCGCCACCGTTGCCCCCAGACCACGCACGTCAACCACACCACCTCAGCCACCGCAAACCACAACCACCACCCACAAAAGGAGAAGAACAGAGATAAAACAACACCCCCATCACCTGCTATTCACGAACACCACCAATCCAAGGCCAAACAGCATACATGAGCAGAGCAGCAAGAGATCGAAAAGGAGGCAGCATCCCTACACCCACCCACATGACAGTAGAACCAAGAGGCATCAAACCAAACCACCGAATCACTACGCCATTCTGAGTGAAGCAAGGTGGACAGCTCTAAAAGTCACGAAAGAAGATGTAAATTGCAAAGCAATTCCCTCTGCACACAGAGAACGACCACAAGATCTGAGACTCAGATTTGAGGTGTGGAAGAAAACCATCTCAAGAGATAGGTTTTTGGCAAAATCCACTTAGGGATAGCAGTGTAGAAATTCATAAATCCACAAAGGGATTGGCAAAGCATGAAAGAAAAGAAGATGAAGCAAAGGAAAATCAGAAATGAAACTGGAGTGGGTGGCCACCGATCACCTAAAGGTGAATCGACGGCCCCCAATTGGAGTTTGGAAAGGGAAAATTTTAGAGAGAAGTGGGAGAATTTGAAAGTTCACTTTTCACTTTCATGGGATTGTTATTCACCGCCCTACTTTTTACTAATTATCACCCTAAATTGATATAAAAAGTGCTAAATGCCCTTAATGAATTTCTCCTCCCTTCCCCTCAGCTCGGTATGGACCATCCTATTTTACATGGTCGGACCTGGTACGGACCATCCTATTTTACATGGTGCGGATCGGGATTGACCATTCCACTATTTGAACATCATATTCTTCTAAAGCAAATAACATATTTACTTAATACAAATATCTTTTTTGTTGACAAAAAGCTCACTTATATTAGCAAGAACACCAAGTTACATCGTTTCAAACTCCGACTAGAGCCAAGCTCTAAAATCAAAACTAGTACAACTTGTAGGATACAGGACTTTTCTTGTCACCCTCAATGCAGTCAAAATAAAACTTAAAAACTTACGATTTTACGCTTTTAGGTCACCAAAACGCTTTCGTTTCCATATAAAAACTTAAGTGTATAAAATCAGACTAAATCGCGCTTTAAAGCTTAAAAGCTTACGGTTTTACGCTTCTAGTTCATCAAAACGCTTTACGCTTTTACGCTTTTAGTTCACTAAATGAGTATTCTTTTCATGAAATTAATTATAAAAAGTATATTTTAAAAGTAAATCACTAACAATATGATACATTTGAGATTAGAAGATACATATCAGGTACTTGGATGCATTCAACTTCAATAGAGTAATCTAATTCACCAACTAGGCTTTTCCCAAATTCATTAGCATAGAGGGAAAAGTGGCTTATTGTTAAAATTTATGTTTACGAACTTATTATTAAGATGCTATAAGTTATTCTACTTTAGGCATGAATCGCATGTATTTATTAACTTATCTGTGCATTCATATTTTGCATATCATATGTCCTACTTAATAGATTTTTAGTTATTTTTCAGTATGCTTCAAAAACTTACGTTTTTACGCTTTGATTCTACGCTTTACGATTTTATCCCTTTTCCGCTTCTAGGTAGAATCGCGCTTTTGAATGCATTGGTCACCCTATTGTTCTGCCTACCAATAAAACAAATATGAAAACCCGGCACAAGCAGTAGCAACTGACGAATTTCCTCTAGCAAGGCTCCACCCACAGCATCGCAGACTGCACCAGCATTAACTTTGTCAATAACAATCTTCGCATCCCCTTCAATCCGTATTGCAGAAAGACCCTTTTCTTGACACCACCTGATTGCATCCCGCAACGCCACAGCCTCAATCAACAAGGATTCTGAAGCTCAGCATACCACCCCCCTCGAGCCTCCACCACTAAATTAGTCTTGTCCTTCAACACCAACCCCACCGACGCATGTGATCCCGAGCAAACCACCCCATCAAAAGAGCACACTAGTTGCACGACACCCTTATCCGCTTCGACTATCGCAACCATCTCCGCCGGCGCACCCATCTCAAGGACTGCTCCCCTTCCTTCCGGTACCTGCAACCATTCATGAACCTGAAACTGGAGTCTAAGTAAACTAGGTAAAGTCTGTTTGCCCGGAAAGGCCACTTCGTTTCTAGCCTTCCAAATCCTCCATAGCAGGCAAAAAAGGTGCACCACCCTTGGTTGAGAGGAATCCCGCTCCAAAAATCGTCGAATAAATAATTGAAACACACAGTCGGCAATGTTTGGAGCTCCATGGCCAATCTCGCCTCCACCCACAGAGCTTTCGCCACAAGACAGTGTAAAAACAAGTGTTCTGTACTTTCCTCTTCCGGCCAGCACACCGGGCATCAGAGCAAAACCGGGACCTTCTTATCATATAGCACCTCCATCGTCGGCAAAAGTCTTTGAAACATTTCCCATGCAAAAAACTTTAGCTTGGGTTGAATATGGGACTCTCATACCTTAATCCAGAAGTTTCGATCCATGGAGCTACATTCTTGTCTCCATTTCCCCACCAATCGGGACTTTCGCTCAGCTAGCTTATATCCGGATTTGACCGTATACACCCCAGATGGGTCCTCCCTCCAGACCAACTTATCAGGGATAGCACTCCGCGACAAAGGAATTTCTAGAATGGCACGCACCATTTCCGGATAGAATGACGAATCTAAACACACCTTGCACCATTCACCTCTGTCCTGGTCAATCAACGCAGAAACCAGGCTCGATTCCGCCCAAGTAGCCTCTGGTCGCACTTGCGGACACTGAGCGTAGATAGATGGGATCCACCCTTCCGACACAATGGGTATGAATGATACCGATCCTACCTGAGCGGCCATGCGTTGTTTAAGCAATTGACATCCATAGAGAATACCTTGTCATCCCCACGAAGGTCGAGATCTGGCAGTCGCCGAAAAAGGGTTATAGGTATAATATGTCACTCTACTATGCAGTTTTATCAAACATGTCCCTCTACTATTTTTTACATCAAATATGCCCCTATACTTTGGAAAAATGATCAAATATACCCTTTTGTTAAATTTACATTAAAAAATCGTCAATAATGGTTGAACCAAGATTTAGACGATTCGACATCAGTAAATGGGAGGGAAAATGTCAGTTTTTTCCCTTGATTTATTTCTCTAGATCTTGTTAAAGTGAAATTATTAGAGGTATTTGGCACTACAAAAGAATCCAAACAATTCTAAAGTGAAATTATCAAAGATAATTTAGATTTTTGTGTTGCCCAAACCAAGGTTCGACCATGGTTGACGATTTTTGGATGAAAATTTTAACAGAAGGGCGTGTTTGATCATTTTTCCAAAGTACAGGGACATGTTTGACGTAAAAAATAGTAGAGGGGCATGTATGATAAAATGACATAGTAGAGGGGCATATTATACCTATAACCTCGCCGAGAAAATTGACCCATGCGGAAAATACTTACCTTTATAGATTTGAGACATGAGCGAGTCTGGCTCCGTATGAACACGCCACGCGATCTTAGCCAGTAGAAGAGCTCACCTCATATCCTCATTACACAAATACAATATTTTTATGAGAGTAATTAAAACAACATATTCACGTAATACAAATATCATATTCTTCTAAAATATATAACATATTCACGTAATACAATTATCGTATTCTCATAACGCATATACAAATATCATATTCTTATAGAAATATGGTATTTCTGTTATGTGAATAATGTATCTGTATTATGAGAATACATAGCCTATTTCATTAAAAATATATGTGTCTTTTTATATCAGGCAACAATTAATATTAGTTCTTAATCTGGCCTTGGTCTCTGGTAGTTGATCTTTTACTGTTAGCGAAGGTGATAGAAAGAGAGGTGCTTACCAAATGTTCTAACTAGAGACCAAGGCCAGGTTAAGAACTAATATTATCAAAATAATATTTGAGGTAAAAAAGTTTAAATATGAAAAGTACAGGTACTAAACTTTAACTGTTCAAATATCAATGAATCCACTAATCGAAACATTAGATTAATTTGATATTTTAGTTGGTGGTTTGGATAGGATTAGTGTATTTGATACATAATTACCACCTCAAATATCAAATATTCTCCTAACCAAATTCGTGCTTATGCCCTTTTGTGTCTTTCATATTAATTTCTTTATTATTGGGTATCTTCGAGAACGGATCAGATCAGTAACCTTATGGTGAGTAATCATGAGTAACCCGTCAACATCAGCATGACATCATCATCTCTCTCCTGGAAAGCCTTTAATTTTCCCCTCCTTAATTTTTGACGGACGATTTCTCACTCGTTTTAAGTCGAAATTTAATTTTTTTTTGCACAGTTAGATCATATTAATTGTGCTCTTCAAAATGATATCCACTTTGATATATTTTTCGAACAAAAAAATTGAGTCATTTTTTACCAGTCTATATCATATGGTATTGACTGGTATTGAAATAAGAACATACATATGGTTTGAAAAGCGTACCATGGTGGTATGAACAAACCAAGACTGTAGGATGGTTGAATACATGATAATAGAAGTATATTAACTGTCATTTACGACTTTTAACATTGTGTGCCACAAGATACCACCCCGTACCAGGGTGGTATTGTGTGGTATTTTTTGGTCCTGTAATTCGTTCACCCAGAAATCTGTAGATCCAATAGATCATGATGAACTCGTTCATTCTGTGCAAACGTTTTCAAAAACGAATTAAAAACAAAGAAGATACCATATGGTATGCAGTTGGTACCGAGAGAATATTGAAAATTCATCTCATTTTGTAGAGAACAACGAACTCGATCCATCTGTGCAAAAAAAATTAAAATCCGAATTAAAACAAAGAAGATATGAGCCGATTAAGAAAGCTAGGGAAAATAAAAATGACATTTAATTCTCCATCTTTAGATTTGAATTTTCTAAATGAATTGTCCAAATTTAATTATTGATGGGTGTATAACCATGAACCGGTATCTTCTTCATACCGTGTGACCAAATAGGTAACTTCTTCGTAACAACATTCTATAGTACTAGAAGGGCTTAATTGCAAGTTTGGTCACTTGAATTGCTGCAAAATTTCATGTTTGGTCACTCGAATTGATTAATTCTATTCGTAGTCACTTAAATTAGTTGAACAGTCCAACTTTAGTCACTCTCCGTTAACCTCCGTCAAACTCCGTTAGTACCGTCAGTTAACTGCTGACGTAGCTAACAGAGGTGCTTAGTCATCCTATTTTAACAAAAAAAAAACATGCCACATCATTAACCCCTCAATATTTTAAAAGTCCACCCAAACCCAATCAACCCCTGACCCGAACCGAACCCCTAAACCAACCCATTCACCTGTTCCCCCTCTCCTTCCCCCCTCTTCTTCCCCAGCTCCGACCCGAATCGCCATTACTGCCAACCACTGAAGCACAGCAGTAGTTCAGTGATTACTGAGAGAGGGAAGTAGCAGAAGAAGATGAAGTTGCTCTCTCCTCCTCACTCCCCTTCAACAATCCTTCTCCTTCTCCTCCTCTGCTTCCATGGCGCTGTCGCCTCTTCCAACTCTTCTTCCTCCTCCACTTCAAAAATCGGCCAAGGCTACCGCCTAATCTCCATTGAAGAAACTCACGACGGAGGATTCCTCGGCCACCTTCAAGTCAAGCAGAAGAACAAAATCTATGGCGCCGATATCCCCACGCTCCAGCTCTTCGTCAAGTAAATTCCCCCCCCCCCCTCATTTCCCCCTGCTCTCTAATGTCGGTTTTCTATTTCTAATTACTTTCGATTCAGCTCGACGCCATTGGCGAAATTGGCTCGGGTTTTCAGGAAACCTTCCAGATACGCGGTCGAGATCAAGGAGCCCGGAACTCACATGGTACGCCTCCATTTCGACCCTTTCGTTTCCTCCAATTTTGATCTGAGAGAGGCCCGATTCCACGTCCTGGTTGACAATTATGTTGCTCTGAGCAACTTCACTGTATCAGACACTCTGGTAAAGGAGTATTTGGTCTGGGTTAGTCAGAACAAGCTTGTTATCACGATTGTTCCAACCCAGAAGGGTAAATTAGGGTTCGTAAACGCAATTGAGGTACTTTCTGCGCCTAAGGATCTGATTCCGGATACGGCTACCCTTGTGAGGGATGGCGAGGAGACGAGAGAGAGCTATGGGGAATTGAACTACTCCGGATAGCTATCACTCTAGCAGAGTTGTAGACGAAATCGGGACAAACTTCCCGGCTAGCCTTCTTTCACACCTTGTCTGTCGCTGTCAAGGTCTGTGTCCAAAGCCATCACCGTCGAATGATCTGGGAATCGCGTCTCCCTCCATTCCCACTCAATCTTGCCGGCTCTCTCTATCTCGGGATATCGCTGTAGATCTGGGATTATGATTTGGTGGCAGTAATGGCGATTCGGGTCGGAGCTGGGGAAGAAGAGGGGGGAAGGAGAGGGGGAACTGGTGAATGGGTTGGTTTAGGGGTTCGGTTCGGGTCAGGGGTTGATTGGGTTTGGGTGGACTTTTAAAATATTGAGGGGTTAATGATGTGGCATGTTTTTTTTTTTTTTTGTTAAAATAGGATGACTAAGCACCTCTGTTAGCCACGTCAGCAGTTAACTGACGGTACTAACGGAGTTTGACGGAGGTTAACGGAGAGTGACTAAAGTTGGACTGTTCAACTAATTTAAGTGACTACGAATGGAATTAATCAATTCGAGTGACCAAACATGAAATTTTGTAGCAATTCGAGTGACCAAACTTGCAATTAAGCCGTACTAGAAGTCTAGAACCCTTAAAGTTGTCCAACGAACTCCTCAAACAACTTGGCGAACACTTCCATTCGATTCTCCTCCAAAGCCAAACCAACCTCCACGCCGCCGCTCCCATCGCCGCTCTCGCACAGCGCCACCGACCTCGAGCTATCCACCTGCACCACCGCGCTCTTCTTCGGCCTCCCCCACCCGAAATCCGTCTCGTACGCCTTCAATTTCGGCGACCCAGCAATCACCACCGCCCTCCCTCCCTCCGCCACCTCCCTCCACGTCGGCATCCACCGCTCCGCCGCTCCCACCCATTCCCCCTCCCTCACCCTCCTCCCAATCGCCTCCGCCGCTCTAAAAAACCCGCCTCCTCCGGCGGCCAGATCCCCTCTCTTCTCCCCTACAAACGTCGGGCCGAGGCAGTTCCCGAGGTACGACTCCGGCAGCTCGATCCCCAGCCGGCGCCGGCAGTCGGCGGAGAAGCCCAGGTGGTAGACCCTGTCGGGGTCGTCGGAAGAGTCCCCCACGCCTTCTGATTTGATTAGAGTGACCCAGATCAAAGCGCACGTCACCACGAAGGCGGACACGTGGGCCTGCTCGGGATTCGCGCTTCGGACCCGAGCTTTCAGTTTGTCGAGGCTGGGCTTGGTGATCACCATTGTGGACCGGACCTTGTTCGAGAGGTTGAGCTGCCGGGGTGCTGCTCCGGCGTTGTAGTTCCATGTCGACAGCCAGTCGAACCACTGCTGCAGCAGGGCTGATTCCAGGTCGCCGTACTTTCCCCTGATTAGTTCCCTGATCATTAATTAACACCCAGCCCACAACGTCAAAATTATCCCGTTATATTTGTCGACAGCGCGCGTAACGAATTTTAAATAGGATGTGGCTGACAGGTGGTATGACATTACGATTTGCAATTTGACATGAGTTTATATCAACATGTAGTTAACGTAGTTGACGGCATCGATCTGGTTATAGTTATAAAACGAGTATTTCATATATGATTATATTTATTATTTTTTTAAAAAGTTTTGTTACTAGTGTTACAAACACTAAAATTATGATTATAATTTAAATGTATTACTTTAAAACGGTAATGATAGCCATTGTGAAATGAAAAATTAGAGTACTAATGTGAGAAGAGAAAAACAAAATTTTTACTTGTCCATTTTCTCACCCGATCCAAAGAGGGACAAAAAGGTGGGAATGCGCGAGAGAGACATGTGCAACGGGTGAGGATGGAGGAAGAAAAGGAAGAGAAGGAATAGAATTAAAACACTTTTTGCTTTAATTTATCCATAGATCTAATATGGTTTAACTTAATTAATCTGAATATTAGAAGAAGCATGGTCCCCACGACACAACACCTCTTTAATCACCAAATCTTTTCCATTATGTGTATATTACAAATTTACACCCTAGTATATTTTTTTTTCTATTTTGATACATTCTTTCTATCATGATACATTTTTATAATTTGCAATTTGACAGGTGGTATGACATTACAATTTGCAATTTGACATGAGTTTATAATCAACATATGGTTAACGGACGACATCGATCTGGTTATAGTTATCAAACCAGCACCTCATATCTGATTATATTTATAATTTTTTTCAAAAAGTTTGTTATTAGTGTTACAAACACTAAAATTATGATTATAATTTAAATATATTACTTTAAAACGGTAATGATAGCAATTGTGAAATGAAAAATTAGAGTACTGATGTGAGAAGAGAAAAAGAAAAATTTACTTGTCTATTTTCTCACTCGATCCAAAGAGGGACAAAATGGTGGGAATGCGAGTGAGAGACATGTGCAACCGGAGAGGACGGAGGAAGAAAAGGAGGCGAAGGAATAGAATTGAAACACTTTTTGCTTTAATTTATCCATAGATCTAATATGGTTTAACATAATCAATCTTAACATTAGAAGAAGCATAGTCCCACGACACGCCTCTTTAATCACCAAATCTTTTCCATTATGTATATTACAAATTTACACCCTAGTATATTCTTTCTATCATGATACATTTTTTTCTCTCTCTATTTTGATACATTCTTTCTATCATGATACATTTTTATACTATTGTGAAATCATATTTTGCACACAAAAATAAACTATAATGCTATACAATGCCAAAATATATCTCGATTAACGTTTTAATTTTTGCTTCAAAATAAATTTCATTTTAAAGAGCATAATTAATCTGATTTTTTATATAGTTTTTTTTTAATCTCAAAACAAAACAAAATTTACATAGTCCGCTAAGGTTTAATGAGGAAATTCTATGCAAGAGCTAGGTAACCAAATTTGGTCCGATTGAGGACCAAAGCTTTCTATTCGTACCAATCAATTCAGACAGTGGCAGAGCCATGAAATTTATATAGGGGGTCCTCTTTCAAAAATTAAATAAATAATTAAATAATTTTAAATTAGAAAATATCTAACTAATACAAGTTACAACAAAAGTCTACGGCGTGTTACAAAATATACTCAGTGTCTGGACGGCTCAACAAATATCTCCATCTTACTATACAATCATTCACAAATATGTTATTTCAACACCTGCAGTTGCAGTCGGTAAAATCAATTTACTTTGAGAAGCAAGTAAACCAATGGATATGATATAATGGAGGGGATAGGGATAACTCGTAATCAGGTTCAATTGTTAGATTTTCAAAATAACTGGGAGAAGGAATATCATTTTTACTAATAAACTAGTGTATAAAATACAATAACAAATGAGTTGTGGTCTAATGAAAAAACATGTTTACTAATAATCTTAGTATCCTAATTTAAATCACCTAGTCTATCACTTATATTTTTTATCCACACAAAAACTACTATTCGGGGTTGGATAATCGTTATCCCACAGAAATTAGGAGTGTCCCGGGACACCCAATAACTCCTGGCTCCGCCCCTGAATCCAGACCGAACTGATTCGGAAGCGAAGCCTTTTTCAATTAGCGAAAAACCAAACCTGTGTTGGAGGTGATCAGCCGGCAGGGAAAGCTGATCACAAGCGCCAGCATCACCACCAGTAGCCGCCGATCGGAGCAGAGCAGCCCACAACTTCATGAAGCCGTGGAAAGCCATGCCGTCCGCAGCCACATGGTGGAACTGGACCCCGATGCACAATCCCCTGTTGGGGAAAACCGTAACCTGCACCGCCAATAGCGGCGACAATCTCGCGCCGTCCTCGGATCGAACCTTCCCCGGATTCATCTCCGGCACCAACGGATGGAGTTCCCTCACGTCCCTGGGCTGGTTCCCGACCAAACCGTCGTAATCGACGTCGGACTCTGCCTCCGCGATGGTGAGCGGAACAGAGTCGGAGGCAGGGGAGAAGCAGAGGAAGGGGAGCTGAGGCGGCGGAGGGACAACGAGGCTGCCGGCGAGAGGGAAGAAGCGGTGGAGGGCTAGGGAGAGGGAGCGGCGGAGGAGGGGGAGGATGGATTGGGTGAAGTGGAGGGTCGGGTAGGGGAAGTCGTAGAAGAAGAGGCGGCGCATGGGGCGGGAGTTGAGCCACATGACGTCGAAGAAGGTTATTGGAAGAGAGGCGGCGGAAGGGTCGAGGGATCCCGCCGGCGGGGAGACTTGGAAGCTGTGGAGTTGTTTTGTCTTGACGGGGTTGGATTGGTGGTGGAGATCCATTATTGGTTGTACGGAGTGGATGATGAAAGAGGGAGTGGAGCAGAGAGAGGGATGAATATGAAGCCAGAGGAGCCTCTGCCTAATTTCGATGTGTTTAGTATGGGCGCTAGTCATTTTTTATTTGATTTGCTTCTTAATTTCCTCGTAAGGGGAAGTCAGATTTGGCGATCCACCAAATTTATTGAGACGTCAAATCTATGGAGCACGTGGAATTGGACGATTTAGCCTAATGTAAAATGATAGATTTTGCAATATATTGTCTTTTTACCTTTTAAATCTTGTCATTATTCAACCATATTCAGTGGCGTAACCAAGATTTTATGTAAGGTGGGTCCGAATATCTTTTATATTGCAAGAAAATTTTGAGTAATTGTAGTGCCCCATAATGTGTTCTCATATATTGACGAACTTGTATTTATATGATATCGATGTCAATATATCCTATACAATAATCATTCATGATTTTGTCACCCATTAGATACCAAAGAGTGTTTTCACATGGCTCATTGAAAATGTCATTTCAATACTTGCAGTGGAGCCTTAGTTAGCAACAACAATAAATTACTTCTTTCAATTACCATGATTCGAAAAATAACTCCTAATTCTATATAGTTTTAGACAATAGCTAGTCTATATTCAAGTCAAAGTATACATATAATAATCTAGTCGAAGTTTAAAACCTGATATATTGAATTTATTATTAGGATAAAAATAATATAGCGAGTTTCAACAAAAGAAAGTTTTGGCGGTATATAATAAATAAACCTGAAATGGTTG